TTTTACTATAATTTGAGTTCTGCACCTCACTTTTGTCCTCCATCGGGGACTCTCTGTTGTGTTCCCTATCAGGGCGGTTCATTGGTGGTAGCCAGGCACCTTCTAGTTCCTCTGGTCTCAGGCTGATGGAGTCTCTGGTTTATGTGGCCCCTTCTGTCTCTTGAGCTAATGTTTTCTTTGTGTCTTTGGTGTTTTTCATTGTCCTTTCCTCCAGGTGGGTTGGGACCAATTGATGCATCTTAGATGGCTGCTCACTAGCTTTTAAGACCCCAGACGCCACTCACCAAAGTGGGATGCAGAACATTTTCTTAATAAACTTTGTTATGTCAGTTGACTTAGATGTCCCCTGAAAGCATGGTCCCCAGACCCCCACCCCTGCTACTTTGTTTCTTGAAGTGTTTGGTTGTATTCAGGAAACTTCTTAGCTTGTGACTTTTTACCTTCTTTTGAACTGATATTTTTCAATTCCATGTTATGTCCTTTGGTGACTTATTAGCTATTAGTAATTTTTTAGTTTAGTGGTTGATTTAGGGTTTATAGTATATATCTTTAACTTATCCCAGTCTACCTTAAAGTAATATTATTCCACTTCTTGTGTAGTATAAGAGCCTTATAATAGTGTACTTTCATTTCTCCCCTCCCATACTTTGTGCTATTTTGGTCATACGTTTTACTTTTACATGTATGTTATAAACCCCATAAAACATTGTTATAATTATTGTCTAAGCTTTTCTTTTAAAGAGATTTAGATAATAGAAAAAAATAATACATTTTTCCACGTAGTTACTATTTCCTCGTTCTTCTTTGCTTTGTGTAGATCTATATTTTTATCAGCATTATTTTCCCTTCCGCCTGAAGGACTTCCTTTAACTTTTCTTGTAGTGAAGGTCTGCTCGTGATGAATTCTTTTTGTGTCTGAAATGTCTGTATTTCTTCTTCATTTCTGAAAAATGTTTCTACCAGATACAGAATTCTAGGTTGACTGGTTTTTTGGTTTTACTTTATAGTGTGTTTGGGGTTCGCTGTGCATCTTGCATCTGTTTTTTGTAGTTTTCATCAAATTTGTAAGTGTACATCATTATTTCTTCAAATGTTTTCTTCCCCCATCTCCTTTCCTTCATGAACTCTGTTTTCTCCTATATTAGGCCACTTGAAGTTGACCTACAGCTTAATTATGCTTGCTTGCTTTCTTCCTTTTTTGTTTTTTTCTCTGTTTGATTTTTGATATTTCCTATTGGTATGTCTTCAAATTCACTAATATTTTCTCTGTAATGTCTAATCTACCATTAATTCCATTTAGTGTATTTTTCTTCTCAGATATCTTTATTTTCATCTGTGGAAGTTTGATTTACAGCTTTTTTATCTTCTATATGTATATAGCTTTTTGAAGAAATACGGGTACAGTAACTTTTAATGTCCTTGTCTCTAATTCTAACATTTGTGTCAGTTTGGGGTTGATTTTGATTGCTCTTTCTCCGTGTTATGTATTATGTTTTCCTGCTTTTTTGCATACCTGATAATTTTTGTTTGGATTTGTACATTGTGAATTTTACCCTGTTTGGGTGCTGGATAATTTTGTATGCTTACCAATATTCTTGAGCTTTGTTTGGCGTTCAGTTAAGCTACTTGGAAACATTTTCATCCTTCTGGGTCTTTTAAAATTTGGTATGTGGGACTGGAGCAGTACTCAGTATAGGCCTAATTATTTCCCGTTTCAGAGGTAGGATCCTTCTGATCCTCTTCCCAATACCCTATGAATTATAAGGTTTTCCAGTTTGGTTGGTGGAAACAAGCATTATTCCTGGCTCATAATGAGTGCGGACACCATTTCCTCTAATCCTTAGAGTTAGTTCTTCAGCCGTCTGTAGTTTCCTTACATGTGTGTATTGATTGGTACTCAGCTGAATACTCAAGGAGAATTCTCTGCAGATCTCTGAGTTTTTCTCTGTGCTGTTGTCCCCTCTCTGGTACTCTTTCCTGAGAACTCTAGCCACATATTGTCCCAACCTCTTAGTTCCAGATCTGTAACTAAGAGTCTGTCGAGCTCTGCCTGTGGATTCTTCTTCCCTGTGTTTACTCTGGAAATTCTCAAGATAGTAATTTAGGTCATTTTTTGAGCTTACTTTTTTTCCCCATCTTTCAGGGATTACTCTCCTTTGTTGCCTGATGTACTATGTCTTGCAAACCATTGTTTCATGTATTTTTGTTTGTTGTTGTTTCAAGCAGGAGAGTTTCTCTCATCTTGGCTGGAAGCAGATATTGAGGCTGGTTTAGTCTTCATTTCCTTACCTGTCCTCAATTCATGTATCTTAAACTCCTTTAAATGCAGCCAGAAATAGAGTTGTCCTCTCTGAACTTGTATGTCCTCGTTTTCCTTTGTACATATTAATTGCTTTTGCCTTATAGTGCTTTCCTGATCTAAAATTATTTAATTAGATAAGGGTAGGGCAAAATTAATTTTCTATGACATCTGACTTTTAATGTCTGATTCAGAGTACATTCTATTTGGGAATGAAAGGATGGAAGTGTATTATGACACCTTTTGCATTCATTTAAAATCTAAGCAGTTTAGAAATGAAGCCAACATTTCAGCAGAATGCTTAGCCATGTCTGATATTTCAGTTACAAAGATGTTTGATAGACATGCCTTTTCAGTTAGTCAATCTGCTTGATTAATTCAAACTGAACATTTAGCCTGCATTTGTCTTAGTTGTAGTTGTGTTTGTACCTTATCCATTAAATTACCAGTTAGATTCACATTTAGAAAATGTGCTTTCTTATAGTAGTTGAAAATGATTCAAACTTAACAGCGAGAATAATTTGAGGAATTAATTTTTCTGTGTACAATCTTTGTTCTATTAGTATGGAAAATTCTTTTTTCTATTTTAGAAAATGAGCCAGAAATGCCAGTGTTACTACTCTTTAAGCTTTTAACAAACACAGTAGGGCCTTTTGATTTGTTCTGTCCTTGTTGAAGAATAGATCCCTGGGTGGCGCAGATTTGGTTTGTGCTTGACTACTAACCTAAAGGTTGACGGTTCGAACCCACGCTGACACCATGGAAGAAAGGCTTGGAGGTCTGCTTCCATAAAGATTACAGCCAAGAAAAGCCCTGTGGAGCAGTTCTACTGTAATACATGGGTTGCCATGAGTCTGAATTGCCTCAGCGGCAACGGGTTTGGTTTGTTTTGTGGAAGAAAAAGATTATGTTCCAAGGATACAAACCTACTGTGTTTTTTTTCACTAGAAAGAAGGTGGCAGTACTTTTTTTTTTTGGTAGGTTTATGAGAGACGAACGACTGATAAAGGCTGATAGCTTAGCTTTATGTAGAAATAGCTTTCAGGGAACAAAGTCACCCCTATCTTTTGTCTTTGTAGTCTGTGTTATAGTGAGGTATTTACTGATTTTCATGTGAAAGAAACCACTAAAATAACAAAAGAAAGCATTATAGCTAATATGCCAGCAAAGGAGATGACCCTGAGGGACTGCAGGATTTAAAACTGCTTTCTGAATTATCAAGAAGATTAAATTTTAACTAGTGTGGTTTTGATGAAGTAGAGCTTCATAATGTTACGGAGGGAATAAACCAAAAGGTGTAGGTTCTAGTGTTATTAGCATTGTCCCTAAATACTTTGTGATTCTGAGCAGGTCATGTAATTTTGAACTTTAGTATCTTCATTTGTCATAACTAATAAGTGAACATTTAATGGGTGCTTCTGTTGTGCCAGGTACTTTGCTGGACATTTTACTTCTTATACCTCATTTAATCCTTACATTAACCGTAGAATGTAAATACAGTCCACATTTTACAGATGAGGAAAGAAGCTTCTAAAATATTAAGTAACATTCAAAATGTTGAGCAATTAAGTATCAAAGGAATAATTTGATTCTAAATCCATTTGATTCTAAAGCCATTTTTTTTTTTTCTAAAAAAAAGTTTTTAAACCAGGAACTATGGTATATGCTAAGATGGTAAATTTCCAAATTGCCTTAGATCTGGCTGTCTTGGTTTTGTTTCCTACCTGCATATATTCTGATTATTGAAATCTTTATCTATTTGTCAGAGCCTGTTGTGTCAGTGACTAATGCTAATCTACAGTGATTATCTCCTTCCTCTGAGATTCTGAAGTATTTATCATCTACCACTCATTTAGTAGTTATGTAGTTGGGATATATTTAGTAGTCTTATATTTGGAATTCTTAAATTGTTTAAATTTTTATGTGTGTCTTACTGGTACACTTAGATCATAAAACTCTTGAGGGAGCTTCTCTTTCCATTGGCATTTAGCACACCATTGTGCTACATATAACTTAATAAACAATTGTGTGAATAAATTATGTGAACTAGAATATTTTAATCAGCATTCCCTTTGTTCACTTCATGTGAGTAAATTTATTCTACTTCAGATGTTTTTAAATTTTTTAAATTCTGTGACTTTATTTACACAGTCAGTACAGTTAAGTTTTTCAGAGAAATGCTTCTCAAGACTTTATCATAATGTTTTGAAAAGAGTTCTCAAAATGAGATTAGCATATAGACTTATTTTATTTGGCAAGGAGATCAGTTACTTTGCCCCACACCTCAGTTTTTTTAAGTTTTGGAAGGTGGTGCCCTTCTTTCTCTTTTTCCTCCCCCAGTCAAAGAAATCAAAAGAACATTGAGTAATGCTTAGGAGCTCTGGATTATCTCTGCTACAGTGACAACTACGATTCTACTACTCTTTCTGCTACTAACTCAAATGTCATTTAACCATTCTGGGCTTTAGTTTTCTCATTTGAGAGACACTGAGTTAAATTACGTGATCTTTAAAGACATATTATTCCAGAATTTGTAAAACCTACATGTAAACTAGGTTTTAGAATTAGAAAGTAGCATTTGATTTTCATGCTTCAAAATATTAGTGGTTTTATGTTAATCAGATTTTTGTTTAAAAGCATTTGTGGTCATATATTTTCCTTTTATGGTTAAAATTTTTTTTTTTTTTTTCTAATTTATCAGTACTCTCTCACGTGTTGCTAAAGGAGTCGTCGACCACACCAAAATGAGTCTTCATGGTGCTAGTGGGGGACTTGAGAGATCAAGAGATAGACGAAGGTCAAGTGACAGATCACGAGATTCATCTCATGAAAGAACAGAGTCTCAGCTCACTCCTTGTATTAGAAATGTTACTTCTCCAACACGACAGCACCATGTTGGTATGTAAACTCAAGTAACCTTCCAAAGTTCTTAAAAGCATTCATTTACTTTTTTAAAATAGTATTGATAATTAATTGTAGGTAATACTTCAGAGTAAAATTAGTTTCTTCAATTCAGTTTTTTCTATTTTAGCTTAACTTGGTTCTTGCTGTGAAAAAACAGCTTCTTAAATACAACTTAAAGGTAAATGTTTAAGAGTCTGGGATAGTCTTTCAAAAGAAGCAATTTGATAAACCTTTAAAACTGATAGTAAATTTTCTTGCAAATTGACTTCCATCTTATGAGATATAAAGTGGTGGTTTATTTTAAAATAGTTTGTAGTACAGTAAGTTGTTGATAGTAATCTCTGAATTAATCACACTCACAAAGGAAGTGGAAGCTAGAATAACTAGCAGCATTGAATTATTTATTTTGATTTTGACAATATTTCAAATTTAATAATAAAAATAGAAGATGAAAGAGAAGGTGTAAAGCGTTTTACTTTATCAGGAACTAATTCAGGTCTTTTCCTTGCTTCCTACTCATTACTATAAATGAACATTATTACCCCAGATGAGGTCCTTGAAGTCAGACTAGTACTTAACAAGCCAGAAATCAACAAAAGTACAAATAATAGTTGACAGTTATATGCAAAGTTCAGTACCTGGGAAGAGAGTAGGAGGATATAATAAATTATTTTATTACTTCAGTGAATTTTGCTTTTGGGATGCTACCAGCATTGTGGAAACAGGTAATAAAAGGGAGATGTCAGAATATCTCTGGGGAGATAGCAAATTTAATTATATAATCAGTAATGCTGTACCAAATGTTCTAAATAGCCTGAGTCATGGAGGAATTTGGCAAAAGCTGATGAAGCTGATGAAATGGAGGTACATTTTTAGGTCACCTTCTAAAGTTAGTAATCTTGCCTCTAAAGGAAACTTCTTTTCACAAAATATTAGTTCTTATTTCCTCTTTCCCCATCTAAAGGAAATTTTCTGAATTTTAACAATATTTTCTACCTATTAAAATTACAGACAATAATCACGTAGTCCTATAAGGTTTATAGCCGTGCTTTAGTCAACAACAGTGAGAATGAGAAGAAAGCAGTGTATCTTAGAGCTGCTTTATTTGGTAGACGTTAAAAGTCATTTGAAAAAGTAAATACTTCTTGCTGTTGTTAGTTAAATTGTTTCCGCCTTTTGAAGAGATTAATTGCTAGTTTTGGAATGCTCTTATTAACATAGTGAGATTCCAAAGTTTATACTGTGTTCTCAGAATAATATTAATACTTCTAGTGTTTAGAATAGTTTAAATTTATATTCTTCTTACTCTTTTACTAACTTTCAATGCCTATTTATTTGGCTTGTGAGAATATTTGGTTCTTTTTTTATATATATTTCTAAGTGGAGTAATGACATAAAATTTGCCTTAATATAAATCTCAGTCTGGGTCAACATTAGTCAATAAAAACATCTTTTTAAAAGTCCACAAACAAAAATTTATTATTTAGGAAATATTTTGATGTTCTGGGTTTTATTCCTGGGAAATAAATTAATGTTTATGGTGTTCTGTAAAAATACTTGTTATTTGAAGTAAAAAATCAGAAATGCCGTCATTTAAAACAATGTTTAAATCAACATTTTAAAATGTATGGATCTTGAATTTTTAAAAGAAAATATGTATAACTTTGTTCACATCTTTCTATTTTAGAACGAGAAAAAGATCACAGTTCCTCTCGTCCAAGCAGTCCTCGTCCTCAAAAAGCATCCCCAAATGGTTCCAGTAGCAGTGCTGGAAACAGCAGCAGAAACAGTAGTCAGTCAAGCTCAGATGGTAGCTGTAAGACCCCTGGGGAGATGGTATTTGTATATGAAAATGCAAAAGAAGGAGCTCGGAATGTAAGAACATCAGAACGAGTGACACTAATAGTGGATAACACTAGATTTGTTGTAGACCCATCCATTTTTACTGCACAGCCGAATACAATGTTGGGCAGGTTTGTATTATTGAAATCTTTGTATTACTAATTACAAAGCACTTTCACATCCTTTATTTTAGTTTTTCATTTAAGGTTTACAGTAAAATCCTAAACCTAAAGTAGTGTTCCTATTTTACAGATAAAAGAATGGAGCTTTGGAGGTTAAATTACTTGCCTAAGTTAATAGAACCAAGTCCTTGACCTTGGTTTTATTTCTGACATTCTTTGCAGTGTCAATAGAAATAGTAAATACATTAGTTAATGAAGTCAGCATACCAAAAGATCTCTACAGGTTGAAACTGTAGATTCAGCCTAACAAGGTGAATTTAATAGTGATAATATGATTTCCTGTACTTGGGCGCTCAAATACAGAAAGATATCAGCACTGTTTCAAGAAAAAAAATAGTTTGGTCAGCTATAAAGTCAGCATGAATTGTCAGTTTGATATAGATAACTTAAAAATAAAAAAGAATGCCATTAACAAGGAGCATTTGCAGAATGAAGGAGGTAATAGTCATCATCTAACCTGTGCTGGTTAAGAGTAATAGATTAATTTTAATTTAAAGTTTGCAGTTATGGGAATCACAATCTGAGGAGGATATAGACAATATAGACTTGATTATTTTAATATGTCCAAAACTAGCATCAAATACTTTGTAATTGTAAAATCAGTATCTTTGTCTGTTCACTTTAATATAAAATGAAAGGACATGTAAATGAAATAGAAGCTTACATGAGGTAAAAAGTTGTTTTATTTCTAGATTGCACTGAGTAACTATTTGGGATTGTCTCTGTGTGTGTGAGAGAGATTTGTCTTGTCTCAGAATATAGAATAAATGCTAGCATTATGATACTATATACATTTTGAGTAGCTAAATATTTTAACAGTAGCATTGGACTTTATAAGAAAAAAATGCTTGAACTATAGGCTTTTATGTGTTTTTAGTAGTGTAAGGGAGGTCTATCAATGGAAGCTCTAGGAGGATGACTTGACATTGTTACTAATACCTTATATTTTTACCTAAACTTTAAAGAAAGACACAATAAAAAAGGTATTTGAAATTTTGCTTCAGCAGTTAGGCTGGGTTTTCTTTAAAAAAAAAATTTTTTTTAAACTACCCATAGTAATCTGAAAAGAATAGCTTTCCCCTTTTGTAAAAAGTTCAAGTATTTGAGAAAATGTCATGACATTTGACTCCTGAAAGACTGTCCTTTTTTTAAAACGAGTGAAGGCTTCTTTTCATGTCAATTGACTACATTTTATCTTTGGGGATGAAAATTAATATTCATGGAAACTGTAAAAGGCAGTTGGCATTCTTTTGGAAACTTTGAAATAAAAAAGCTTTGTTCGTGATATAGTTTTCTGTGTTACAACAAAAGAGGAAATGATTTAAATTGGGAAATTGTTAAGTAGAATACTTAGATCAGCCATATTTACTTTGGGGATGGGGTATTACTGTGTTCAAAGGTTCAACTTTCTTAAATAATCAGAATTATTAAGTTTCCTTGGGAGTATTGCGTTAAACTTTTCATTGTAAAGGACATATTTTGCAGATTGCTTCTTTTCTAAGTAGTCACTGTTAAAGGCCAACAACATTACTTGAAAAAACATATCCATTTATGTTTTTCTTTATAAAAAATTAATATTAAAATAATTAATATTGAGTATTTTGCTTATTTATTTCAACTTTTTATTCTCCTTTTCACTTCTTTATTCCTCTCTATACTCTCTACCCCGTCCTCTCTACAAGCACTTGATTGCTTGTTTTTCACTCCTAGGATGTAGAAGAGGCAAGTATAAGAATTTTGAGCAAGATTTTTTACATTTATTGTTAAGATTATGAAAAGCAAAACAACCACTTCTTCACAGTTTAGTTGGTTGTATGCGCTCCATTATAGCATTGATTTTATAATGAAGATAGCCACAGTGGTTTTAAGGGAAGGGCATAGATAACATGGCTACCTTTTTTCTTTCTGACAAGATTAGTATAAAAATCACCTTTTCCACAAGATTTATTATTTCTTTCTGAGCAGGAGGAGATGGAAAGTTCTTTAGCTTCTGAGTTTTATCATTTAATTTTATTGTTGCTTATAAGACTCTATGGGGAATCTGTATATTACTGTTCCCTCCCATCAAAAAGGAAATATTTTTAATAGTCCTTCATTTACACAGTTAGCCAGAATAAATTCTGCTAAATATTCTTGAACTAATTTAGTGATATAATTTAATGCTTAAATTATAATTCCTTTTACTTTTGTACATATTGATTTTCCCTTTTTTTGGAGGAAGTACTCTATTGATGTATTTCTCCATTATTTCCTATTATAGGATGTTTGGGTCTGGCAGAGAACATAACTTTACACGTCCCAATGAGAAGGGAGAGTATGAGGTGGCAGAGGGAATTGGCTCCACTGTGTTTCGAGCTATTCTGGTGAGTGTTTTTTGTGTGTATTGACTTAACCATAAGACCCCTTCTTGATAAGTACTTGGAAGCCAAGTTCTGTTTGGATATTTCTTGAAGGTATTACCATTTTTCCTTAAATACTATTTAATTCGTCTTTATTTTAGTCCATAAAGATCATATGATATAAACAAATGAATTTTATGACCTTTGGGAAGGTAGGATAGGGCTAGATTAATCTCTTAGGCTGCATATGCAGTTCTCTCAAGACATTTAGTAGTAACATTTCCGACGTCATAGTACTCCTCCCTCCTTAATTCACGTAAATACAATGAGTTGATCACTTTTGCTACCTGAGAATGAATGTGGCTACTAGGATTCTAATATTTTATCGCATGTAACCAGCAATATGGAAACTTACGAACATTTAAAAATCATCTCCAAAATGTATTTGTTAAAACCTTTTTTTGTGTGTGGTCTTAACTTTTTTTGAGGAGTATTTGAATTAGTATTACAGAATTTAGGAGCCCTAGTGTCCCAGTGGTTGAACTCTCGGCTGCTAACCAAAAGGTTGACAGTTTGAACTCGCCAGCTACTCCATGGGAAAAAGATGTGGCAGTTTGCTTCTGTAAAGATTACAGCCTTGGAAACCTTATGGGGCAGTTCTGCTCTGTCCTATAGGGTCACTATGAGTTGGAATCGACTCGATGGCAGTGTGTTTGGTTTTTTTGGTTTATTACAGAATTTATATTTGTAATTTCAATTCAGTGATAAAGATTTGATTTACAGTGTGTGACAGACCATTCATTCCACAGTCTGGAAACATAGCTTCCTGAGAGTTTTGGATGAAGAAGGGAGGGAGGAAGGAACCTGAGGTAGAAGACAGATAGGAAAAGTAGTTGCTTTTGATCAGGTTGCTAGAACTCGAACAAGCACCAGAAGACATTTTGCTTCTACTGTTGTAGCAGCCTTAGAAGTTTGTGTTACTGTGGCTCTGAACCTCAAGAAGCTTGAAACAGGTCTTGATTTTTTTTTAAAGCATGTTAGAAAGTGCTCTTGCAACTGACCACACTTCCATTTAGCCCCCTATGGAGTTGACACAAAGAAACCTTTTTAAGACTAAGCTATAGAGTAACTTATCTGTAACTCTGAGATCTAACAACTTTTAAAGTAGATTTTGGAAATAATTACTATTGATTGTTTGCAGTAATATGGGAAACACCAAGGGATATTACTTGAAAGAAGAATATCTGGTTATGCATCTAGTTTTACATATTTTAATGCTTGACTATGACTTCGCAGTTCTTTAGGAGAAACCTTGGTTTTTGTTAAACTTCCTTATTTAAAAAATGTATGGTAGTTGTGTAGAAAAATAACTTGTAGTGGGGGAAATATGTATTAGTTAGCATGATATGGTACAAAGAAGAGATGAATAAAGAATGGGTAGACCTGGGTCTCAATGTTACCTCTGCTGTTAAATAATTGTATGATTAGGTAAGTCATTGAGTCCATCTGGGCCTAAATTTCCCTTATCTGTAAAATCTAAAATTTCTTAGGTGAACTGAGGTTCCCCTAACTTTAAAAATCCACAACTTTGAGATGTCAGAGCTTCACTGTTTTTGAAAATGCTACCAGTCCAACCTTAATGATAAGTGTTGACAACCTTGTGCTCTAGATGTTTTATGCATTCCTTTTTTATTTTTCAGGATTATTATAAGACAGGAATAATCCGTTGTCCTGATGGCATATCTATTCCTGAACTAAGAGAAGCATGTGACTATCTTTGTATCTCTTTCGAATATAGCACTATTAAATGTAGAGATCTCAGTAAGTATGATGTTTTGTGTGTGAGTGGTTTGTAGAGCTATAATATGTTGGAATGAAAAACCTGAAATAGTGCTATTTACCTAGTTAGACCTCAAATATTTCTTTCATTGAATTTAAATTATTCTAGTACCATGAAGAGTATTCATGGAAGTCTGTAGAGATCTTTGTAAGTTCCTTGTGCAATTTTCCACATTTTTTTTAACTTTATTTTTTTTAGATTTTTTCTTTGACTGCTTCCTCTTTCATTTTTTGTCAGTCTCCATCTCCTAGGTTGGGAGCCCTGGTTTGCCTTCACTCCTCAGATCAGATCATCCAAAAATTTATAATTTTTTATATTTACTATGTAAGATACTATCCTGAGCACTATGGAAGTAACAAATAATTCTCAAAGACAATACTTCTCATTAAAGATTTTAGATTAAATTCCTAGCCTTCATTTATACATGTGTATATATCATATCACATCATAATAATATATAACCGAAAAACCAAACCCACTGCTGTTGAGTAGATTCTGACTCATAACAACCCTATAGGACAGAGTAGAACTGTCCCATAGGGTTTCCAGGGAGCAGCTGGTGGATTTGAACTGCTGACCTTTTGTTTAGCAGCCGAGCTCTAAACCACTGCACCACCAGGGCTCCAATATAATATATAGTTATATAATATTAGATATTATATATATTATGGTGTTAAAGAATAGGTACTAAATAAGCATATAGGAGTCATATCTAACTCAGGTGTGGGGGATTGGCGAAGCTTTCTGGAGGAGAAGGAAGAGGAAGTATGTTCTAGGCAGAAAGGATTCTGTATTGAGAAGCAAGAAAGATTGGTACATGGAGGAAATGACTTCTCACTCTTCTGTCATAGAACCTAAGCACATAAGCTTGTTCTTTTACCTTCTTTATCCTAAAACCAGTTGACCTTTCTCCTCTCACCTCCCTTCCTACACTGAAATCTTAATGCTGTTTTTTTGAGGAAGAGAACATGCAGGAGATGGAATATGGAAGCTATTTTAGTTCTTATGGATTATCTGAAAAGTATCTTTAAGATATACGTGTGCATATCATAATTGCATATATTTATGGAAGACAACATAATATAGGCAGAAGTACCCCGGGCTAGCAATGGGTTTCTAATTTTGATTTTGCAAATTAATTTGTTTTGAAAACTTAATCAAATTACTTCACGGTGTATAAAATACGGGGTTGTGCTGGATGCCATTAATTGGCCCTTCTTGCTATAAGATTCTGTAACTCTATAACAACTCTTCCCTAGGAAAAGTTAGTGACTAAAGAAAAACTACTATATTGCCTGTAGTGTCCCAAAGTAGATGTTGAACTAATTTGCTATGTTTTTTTGTGCGTTACTTCTGCTGTTTACTTATCAGCCTTCCAAAATAATGAAGATATTTTTGTGGGTTTCATTTCAGGTGCCCTAATGCATGAGTTATCAAATGATGGTGCTCGTAGACAATTTGAATTTTATCTGGAAGAAATGATCCTCCCTCTTATGGTAGCTAGTGCCCAGAGTGGGGAACGAGAATGCCACATAGTGGTGCTTACAGACGATGATGTGGTTGATTGGGATGAAGAGTATCCACCACAGATGGGAGAAGAATATTCACAAAGTAAGTATTGTGGCATGTTTTCTGTCTCTTGAATCATCACAGATTATCTCTTTATCTTTTATAATATTAATCAAAGGACAGTTTTTTTAAGGAAAGTACATTGAACTCTTACCACATACCACGGTTCAGCAGACTACAGCCTCTGGGCCAAATCCAGCCCACCACTTGTTTTTGTAAATAAAATTTTATTGGCATACAGCCACACCCATTCATTTACATTTTGTTTATGGCTGCTTTCATGCTACAGTGGCAGAGTCGAGCAGTTATAACAATGACCTTATGGCTCGCAAAGCCCAAAATATTTACTATCCGGCCTTTTACAGAAAAAGTTTTCTCACCCCTGCCATACACAGAAATGATTTGCTCTTTGCTAAGTATCTGGATCTTGTTGGATTTTTCTTCTTTGCATTTAGAAGCATCCAGGAGGGTAGATGTCCTTATTATAAAAAATAAGCTTTATTTATTTATTTATTTATTATATTTTATTGTACTTCAGGTGAAGGCTTACAGAACAATAGTTTCTCATGAAACAGTAGTACACATGTTGTTTAAGCTTTATTTATTTAATGAATTTTTGTTTGTATATAAAATGAGAAGATTCAACTCATTGATTTTGAAGGTAACTTTAAGTTCTAAGATAGTCATTTTTTAATAGTCGATACGTGTTTCTGACCCTTCAGAAAGCTTTGTGGAACTATAGTTCTTTTAGGTATTTCTGACCAAAATAGCATATCTTGAGCAGCAATGACTAACTTTCCTTTTCCACTTCCAGTCTTTTTCTGATTACAGCCTTTTGATTTTTTTTTTGTTAGAAAATTTATCTTGTAATTGTTTTCCTTGATGAACCCAGTGGAGTATTTTTGACATTTCATAGATTGAGAAGAAGAGAGAATTGACAGAATGATGTGAGGAACTGAATAAAGTAGCCCAGCGTCTTGATATAATTCTGTACTCGTCTGTTGACTCAGTAAGGATTAGGGTTTAAGTGAAAAGTATAGGAATGTAAAAACCAAATCCGTTGCTGTCGAGTCGATTCTGACTCATAGTGACCCTACTGGACAAGGTAGAACTGCCCCATAGGGTTTTCAAGGAGCGCGTGGTGGATTCAAACTACTGACCTTTAGCAGCCGTAGCTCTTAGCCACTATGCCACCAGGGTTTCCACAAGAATATAGAAAAGTACCAAAACCTTTTAGCCTCTGATTCTTCCATTTACTTACCCTTTTCTGAAAGCAAAACAAAACAGATTCCAAATGATATTCTTTTTAATTTCTCAATATTTTCAAAAGATTATTTTAACACAAGTTATGGTAGCACTTTGCAGGGTTACTGTGTATTTACGTAAATAACACATGCCTTCTACATTTGTTTGCTAACCATGCCTCCTCCCCCGTGAGGAATTTTCATAAGCGCCGCTATGCCAATTTTTTTTTACATGTTGCCTTATTTTCGTAAAAATATGGTACATTGAGATGCTTTCTTTGAATGATGTACTTAAACAAGTGTTATGATTCTTTTGTAGCTAGTTGTAGTGATAGGTATTTCTGCTATACTCAGTTCTAGGCTCTTTGCTAACAATGGTTTTCTATAATAATATGTGGAATAAAATACAGGAAAAATTAAAGATTACCAAGAATCAAAAGAAGTATACTAAATTATTTTCTGTTAAGAGAGAGGAATGGATGAGCTTATAATTTATATTTTTCAAAACGTTTGACTCCAAGAGTGGAACCAAATATAGAACATAGAAATGATAGTACAGTGATACAGGAATTAAAATAGACCTGGTTTTTCCTTTTTAATTACTGAACTTTCCATTTCAGTTTTTGTTTTCTTGTTTTTTATCTTAAGCTTTGAAGCTTAAAAGGACTGAAAGCGTTTTTACTTAATTTGTCAAAATATGTTTCATCTTGTTCCAAGATGTTTCCAACTTAGAGGATTCATTTGAGGAGATAGAGCTCTTCAGCCTGATTTTCCTAAATGTGATTTTGTGACACCATCCATTCTGAGACATCAAAAAATCTGTCTTGAAAAACCAGTAATCTTAACAATAATCACAAATTTACCCCATGAATAGCATCTGTATACTTTATTTTCGTTTTATTGGCTCTTATAAACCAGCATGTTTGGTTTGTGAGTGTGTTATTCTTTTTTTGAAAAAACCTTTGCAGTTCACCTTTTAAGGGAGATAACTCCACCTGAAAAAGAGAAGGCGAGGAAGGTCCATCAGTCTAACTCCCTGAAGTTCCCAGCACATTTGGAAGACTCAACATGTTGTTAGTGGAATGTCTGTCCTTTGCAAAGCCAGTTTGCTCTAAACAGACTAACCTGGGCAGAACACGCTCGAATCTGCCATTTTTAACATCCATATTAAATGGGGCTGTTCGCCTGAATGGAAGACAGTTTGTGGGGTGGGTCGTTACCTTTTTGGGGAATTATTAATAGTTGCTCAGTCCATGAAATGTAAATATGTCTCTTTTGTACTCTCTGACAAGGCAGTTTTTTTCCTTCAGACTAGGCCTTTTAGGCATAGCGAAGTCCTTTACTTTGCCTGCTTGATAATGATGTGATATTGATGTCTTCTTTTGATTCTTTTATTTGAAGAAACTTGGGGCAGATCCCATTCCAGTAAGTCTGTATGTGATATATCTTTCAGGAGATTCTTCCTATGGATTGGGTTACCTGATTGGTTATCAAAGCTTTTCTTGTTTCAACCTAAGTAGACATTTGCTTATACATTAACTGTACTGAATTGTTGTCCTGTCATGTTGGCTAGTCATCCTTTGGCATCACTGCATCCATCCATGATTTAGGCTTTTAACTGTCAGCCCCTTCTGATGACCAAGATAAATTGAACTTCCTCTCTAAATGCTTTGATTTTAATAAAATATTTTTGTCTTTTTTTTCCAGTTATTTATAGCACAAAATTGTATAGATTTTTCAAGTACATTGAAAACAGAGATGTGGCCAAATCAGTTCTGAAGGAGAGGGGTCTTAAGAAGATTAGATTGGGAATAGAAGGTAAAACATCTTAATTTTCTATTACTTTTCTTTTGAGAAAACGTTAAAAAAATTGTATTCCATGTAAAATATTGTTTGAATACTTTGAGGAAAAGTCTGATGAATGATTATATTGAGTATTTATGCAGTAGACCTATAAATAATAAAAATTAACTTCCTTTATCTGAGACAACAGATAGAAGACCATTAAAAACCTGTTGCCGTCAAGTCGATTCCGACTCATAGCGATCTTGTAGGACAGAGTAAAACTGCCCCATAGCATTCCCAAGGCTGTAATCTTTACAGAAGTAAACTGGCACATCTTTCTTCTGTGAAGCGGCTGGTAGGTTCAAACCTCCAACCTTTTGGTTAGCAGCCAAGTGCTTTAACCACTGCGCCACCAGGGCTCCTTTAAATGATACAGGAGGTTAAAATACTGGCCTTGCTGACTTAGGTAAGGAAGTACCCAGAACCAGTGAAACTGGAGAGCTCCACAGATCTTTGTAATTAAAAAAGAAAAAACCCAGAACAATATAAAGATGAGATTTAGGATTAAGGAAAGTAGAAGGCTAATGTGGCAGTAAATTGTAGCCGTGAGGCCAGAGAATCCGTACAGGGAATGGGTCAAGGATATTAAGGATATCACAGCGAGAGCCCAGGATGTGCACCAGATTACATACCATCGTACTGCAGACGCATCCCTTCATACTCCCACTTTAAGAATGTTTTTCTAGTAGTTGGTGTCTTGAGTGGCTGAGAGGATGTGAATTACATCAGTAGGATTTGGGTTTCCTTAATTGATTAGGTGGATGGAATACTGGTTTTCCTTCCTTGATTTAATTTCCGTTTGTTTGGGATCTACAGTAGAAAAGTTCTCTTTAGGCTAAACTGGGTGAGAAATGTTGGTGTTTTTGTGTGTATCCTCAGTTTTTAAAAACTTTCTCTCCTCCAGGATATCCTACCTACAAAGAAAAAGTAAAGAAAAGGCCTGGGGGCCGCCCAGAAGTGATTTACAACTATGTCCAAAGACCCTTTATTCGAATGTCCTGGGAGAAGGAAGAAGGAAAAAGTAGGCATGTAGACTTTCAATGTGTAAAGAGTAAATCTATTACCAACCTTGCAGCAGCTGCCGCAGACATTCCCCAGGACCAGCTGGTAGTCATGCACCCAACTCCACAAGTGGATGAGCTGGATATTCTCCCTATGCATCCCCCTTCTGGCAACAATGACCTCGATCCTGACGGACAGAATCCAATGCTGTGATGCCGATGTTCCTTGAAACCATAGCATGTTCCTCTTCACAGTGACGTTGTACTCTCCTCATTCTGCACTGCAAGGCCACTCTTCTTCGTTGTGAGATGCACATAACAATGTTTAGGATATTGCAGTGTAGGCTTTTTTAAAGACCAAAGGTAGCTGAATGGTTTTTTAAAATGAGGACGACTCTAGCATCCTGAGGGTTCCAGTTATATAAATGTATTTGTTTACCAGTAGGTTTCTGAAATTGGTTCTTTGTATGGGGACAGTCCTTTTTCACACAGCTAGATCTTTTCAGAAGTGATGGAAATTGGCAGCTGGGGTACCTTTAGTCTAAACTGATATTGGTCACACCCCAGAGAAAATGCAGAATATTATATAGTTGCACTTTATAAATGGTGGTTAAATGGAGCTATTCAAGCCATTTTTATAGTTGTGATGCACAATATAACTTAAATAAGTGCTTCTATCAAAGTATCCCTCCAGTGAGATGTGTATAGTTTGCTGCCCACTGATGAGCACAAGATGAGTATTTATCATTGGGCTTATCTGAATGATCAGGATGCAATTCCATGCCCATATTTTATCAGTTCAGATATCTCCAGTGCTGTTTTCACGCTTTTAGAGTGAGTCACATGCAGGGAGTGTGAACATCAGAGGTGGTTTATTATCCAGTCTGCCTTACCCTTAATCTGTTCACAGATATTTATTTACTAATGAGGCTTTTTTTTCTTAAGAGTTACCAGATAGGAAAATGAAGTGTTTGCTCTTCATTTATTAAATGATTGTAAACTCGAGTTTTTCATCAAAATAAAATTCCATTGTTTTAATGTTTCTGACCCAACTTTATAACCACCATGCCTAGCTTTTTAGCCTCATAATTAGCAGATTTCCTGTCTTGTTGGTGAAAGCATAACTAGAAATCAAATATCAGTTCAAGGGACTCCAATTTGGTATTGATGTGTGATGAGGCACTTAGATTTCCTACTAACTATAAAATATACTGTAAATCCAAAACAGTATTAGAGCTGAAGAGAGAGAATATTTTCTAGTCCAGCCTGATGTGAAGGGTGAAATGACTTTACTGGATCATGTAGTAACCCTTAGTTTCATAGCCAATTTCATACACTAGCTCAGCGCTTTTCCCATTATAATGTGCTGCTCTACTTATTCATGCAAATTATTCATGCAAATGCTGTTTTTTATGTTTTGTGGCCCAGTTCAAGAAGGAATCAGAAATAGTTAGGCGCTTAGGGGCTGGGGTCACTGTTTGAAGCCATACAATTGCCAGTAGTAGTAGAGAAGCCAGTTTGTTATATCTAAACTTGAATTTATAATTTCAGAGGATTTGAAATTTGTGTTTAAGTAGTAACATCTTTGCTCTCACATAAATTAAAATTGCAACAATTTTGAAATTAACTATTTTAACAATACAGCGAAGTTAGTAGCACAGGGAGATTAGGCAAGTCCCAGAATTGTTATGAAGGCCAGAAAGGCACTGCAAATGTGATCAGCATGGATTGACCTTAAACACCTACTGTAGAAAACAGATGATCCAGCCCTGCAGCATGTAGGTTTTTTTTCTAATTATTTGCAATGTGAACAGTATTTATAGAACAAGGGAAACATTTATTAAAAATATTTAACTGTCTAATACATTATACTTTAACCCATATTTATAGTAAGGGATTCTTACAAGGAAGAATAAACGGCTTTATGATACAATTAGTATAAGAAATATCCACATGGGGGACTTTGTAGTGTAAAAACACCATACATCTGAAATGACCATTTGCATATAAAAGCTACCAATGATGCTTCTGTGCACAATGATTAAAAAAATTCAACACAAACAGAATCCAAAATATACAATTAATGCAAGCTATCCACAGCTAGCCCAATAATCAATGATGAGGAAACACTGAAGCAGGCTTAGTTCCACTTTGTCTGAAGTTACACATAGTAAGATTGACTTGTATCAATGGCTCTGAGATGGCTTTTATGAAGACAGTACATAAAAGCTGTTCTCTCCTTATCCAATAAGCTTCACAGACTGTAAAACTCCACCAGTAATGCACTTGGATACTGTAGCTGTTGCCAAAGCAACAGGTAGTGTTTACAGTGGCCATGGCAAGTCACTGAAGTCAACAGGGCCACCCAGTCCAGCATCTGCTTCCAAAAGGCTCATGATGACAGCCATTGCTGCTTCATCGTTGCTGGGACTACTTGAGCCTTGGTCGTTATCTATCATATCTATACCTATGTGGGGGTTCTCACCTGTGGGAGGAGATAAAGACTGATCAGTGATCAAAAATACCAAAGCATGTTTACCTTTATTAAGAAAGTTACATTTAACAGTAGGATGAGAGATGTTGCTTCTTAGGGCTGTATGTACTGCCATAATTTGTTTTTCAACTTTGGCGTTTTTCAGAGGAAAGAACCAACTTTTGAAAAATAAGAATGAAGTGCTTAAAATTCAATAAATATTAAAAGTATTTCAGTTGACCTCATTTAATATTCTGATAGAACCAATTAAGGAGAGCAGTCTACAGAAAGACAAATAAGGGAGAGATGAGGGGGAAAAAAAAAACAATCTAGGAAGCCAAGTAGATGAAAAGATGGATGGGATGGGGAAAAGCAAACTTTGCATCACTTAATGACTTTTAATACTCTGAAATGCTTATTGATCCTCCTTGGCTTTACCTCTGAACCTTCAACGGAGCGGCTCTCCCTCTGAAGAGGTATGTCCCATAATGTGGGAGAAAGCCTGTCTAGGCTGCTGTAGCCTCCTTTTGAGGTCCAGGGACAAACCTGGACCCCCACCAGAACTCAACCATTAGAGTAAACTTTGAAGTAGAGATTTTAACAAATGTTAAAGTTTTACTTTGCTCTTATCAAATATAATTAGAACTAGCTTCTTTGTACAATTCTGTTCTTAAAGCTGACTTTATGCCAGATGTTTTGCAAGCTCATTGCAATGAAATGAATAATGATGCTACTTACCAAGGATAGAAGAACTGTCAGAATATGGATAACCTGGGTTCTCCTGAGCCTGCCCTGGTAGTAGGCCACTGGAAGAAATGTCTGGGGTCCCTCCATTTAAAATCTACAAACACAAGGGGAAAGGTTTGAAAATTTTCATTCATATAAATGTATTTTCAATAAGTATCATGTGCAATGTCACCAAGAAAATGAAACGTGGGAAAGAGGAAGGTGGGAGGAAAACTTCAAATGGCTTCAGTTTGGAAGATTCCTATTGCATGATTTCAAACAAGGAAACTGTTAGGAATGGTCAGAATAAGAAAAAACCTCATCCTCAAACTATTCTGTTCATTCAGTTCAACCCACACAAGCAATTTATTTATTTATTTATTTTTTATTGTACTTCAGGTGAAGGCTTACAGAACAAATAGTTTCTCATGAGACAGTAGTACACATATTGTTTTGGACGTTGGTTAACAACCCCACAACATATCAACCCTCTAACTTCTCAACCTTTTTTTTTGGTGAAAATACACATAGCCAAAGATACACGATTTCAAAAATTTCTATATGCACAGTTCAGTGACATTGACTACGCTCTTCCAATTGTGCTGTTATTCTCACTTAAGATGAAGGCTTACAGAACAAAATAGTTTCTCATTTAACAGTTACTACAAATGCTGCCCTATGACAATGGTTAACAATCTCACAACACAACAATATCCTTACTCAACCTTGGGTTCCCTATCACCAGCTTCCTTGTCCCCTTCTGCCTTCTGGCCCTTGTCACTGGACTCCTGTACCTCGTTAGTCTCATTTGGTTTTATGGGGCTGTCCACTCCCAGGCTGAACAGTGAACCTCGGAGGTAACTTCACCACTGAGCTAAAAGGGTGTCTGGGGGCCATACTCTTGAGGTTTCTCCAGTCTTCTTTAGGCCAGTAAATCTGGTCTTTTTTTGCCACACAAGCAATTTAAAAACTGAATAAAATCCCAGGAGCATTCAATTACCTCGGATCATGCTGCCCACGTGTTTCTTTAAGGCCAAGAACTAAACCTCAGTGAACCCAGCTGGGCAATTCTGCAAGGGAGTAAAACATCTTACAGCAACAGATGTTGCTGAAGAGGCAGTAAGTGGGGTTGTTAACAAGTGTGCAGAGACACAGCTTCAGGAGTCATAGATTAAGAAAACACTAGAAGTAAATCTCCTCACCAGGTACACCACAGTAACCTGTGGCTTTTCTTACATAGGTCACTGAGGAGCATTACCACTCATCAAACGCAGAACTCTAACTTTGTCTCAAGATATCCCTTTCCCTGCCCCCTCCTTCTTGATTTTCCCTACCCCTCAGCTTCCTTGCCCAGGGTGTCTCATAATAGAACATCCTTTGAGAAGTATTTGGATATGACTAGGTGAGGGAACAGTTTTATGGCTGCTGGATTTCAGGAGAGGCGGTGATTTCAGGACTTGCCAGTAGGTGGCATTACAACTTTTATCTCCACAGTTCTCTCAGCCCCCTTTACATGATTAAAAATTACTGAGGACTCCAAAGAACTTTTGTTTGTGTAGGGTATATTTATCAATATTATATTTGAAATTAAAACGAATGCATTTTAAAATATAATAAACAAATTACATGTTAACATAAATAACATTTTAATGAAAAAATAATTTTTTCCAAAACAAATTAGTGAAAATAGTGTCATTGTTTTATATTTTTGCAAATCTAATGTCTGGCTTAATAGAAGATAGCTGGATTTTCCTATCTGCTTCTGAATTCATTCTGCTATGATATGTTGTTTTGGTTGAAGTATATGTAGAAAAGTTTCCCACAGATATGTATTTGGAAAAGAGGTGTATTTTAATAGCCTTTTCAGATAATTGTGGTATTCTTTACATCAGAATTCAACAAGTGGAAGTTTCTTAAAGGTTAGTTGCAATGTGGAATCTGAAACCATAACAGTGAATTTTTTGTCCTCTGTTATGTTAAAATCCATTGATGTATCTTGGCACTTAGGATAGATCTTTTTGAACCATCTTGCATTGGTCATTTGGAAAATTTTGGTTGACTGAGTTAGCAGATCTTCCAAATGTTAACACATTTCGCTATACAACATCGTAAAATTACTTTTGTTAATATCACCCATCTCATCAGAAAAATCTTTTAAGTTTGGGGAAGCTGTTGAGCTCAAAGTGGCAGTTAAAAGTTTTCTAAAAATTTTTAATTTTTGCTTGAAAGCTCAGATTTTATCATTGGCAACAAGTATTATCTTTCCTTGAGGTGATAGGTTCATTTCATTCATTTTCAAGAAGATGTATGCCAAATACCCAATTCTGAATAACCACAGTTTGCCATAGTAAAAATGGTGTCCCATGAGAAAAGCAGCTAGTTCAGCTCACTAGTTAAACCACTGCACAAGTGCTTTTCCTCAGGCCAACCGTCACAGTTCGGCATGTAGCACAAGTGCTTCATGCATACTTCCCATTTCTCCACGAAGAATATTTAAACAATCTATACACAAGGATTTTATAAAAAGTAATGATTTTCACTGTTTCATTAAGGGCATTCTGAAATGATACTGGCTTTACAATTTATTTATTTTAATGGTTAGTAGGTGGCAGTGAAGGGTACAGTGACCACTAGTATGGTTTGGTGCCACTCCCTTGATTTGTGCGAAAGCACCAACAGTTTTACTCAACATTGTTTTGTACTATCAGTGCATATGTTAACACAGTGAAAAAAATAATGCTATAGCATTATTATGAAAATAGTTTTGACTTGCAGGCCCCTGGAAGGGTTTTGGGGCCTACCCAGAAGAGCATGAACACACTCTGAGAACTGCTGTTTTATCTGAACCTG